GGATTATCGTCGCCACCGATTATCTCACACGGTACGCCGAGACGAAAGCCCTTCCAGCAGGCACGGCTGTTGAAGTCGCCAAGTTTTTCATCGAGTCCATCGTCCTCCGGCACGGCGCTCCAGAAGTTTTGATTACTGATCGCGGATCATCGTTCATGGCACAGCTGACCCAAGAAATCCTCCGACTCAGTCACACCAGCCACCGTCGTACAACTGCGTACCACCCGCAGACCAACGGGCTGACGGAGAGACTGAACAAGACGATCGCCGACATGATCTCTATGTACGTCGACGTTGAGCACAAGACGTGGGACGAGGTGCTGCCCTACGTCACGTTCGCCGACATTACGGCGGTTCCTGAGACCACTGGATTCACCCCTTTCCAGCTGGTACATGGTCGGAAGGTAACAACCATGCTGGGCGCAATGCTGCCCCACGAGCCATCTGACAATCAGAGTGACGACGCCCAGGTGTTTGCTCAACGCGCCGAAGAAGTCCGCCAGCTCGCCCGACTCATGATTCAAGACCAGCAACGCGTCGACGCGGGCCGCTACAACCTTCGTCGCAGGGACGTTCACTTCCAGCCCGGAGACAGGGTGTGGGTGTGGACGCCCATCCGTCGCCGCGGCCTCAGTGAGAAACTGCTGAAACGGTACTTTGGACCATACAAGGTACTTCGTCGCCTCGGCGAGCTGAACTACGAGGTGATGCCCGACGGAACAAGAGCATCATCACGCCGCCCACCACGACCTGAAGTCGTCCACGTCGTGCGCCTGAAGCCGTACTACGCTCGATAGGACTGTGGATCTTATGTGTTTCAAATAACTCTTTAGTTCGCCGTTCTTTTTATGTGCTTTGTTTTGTTTTGTGTTGCATCGGGGCGATGCACTTTTTTAAGGGGGGAGTAATGGCGCGCGCCAAGTAGTCAGCGCGGCCGTAGCCTAACGGTTATCGCGCTTGCCTCCCACGCGAAGGACCAGAGTTCGATTCCTGGCCGTGGCTACGCATTTTGTTGACACTGAAATGTGATGTTCTGGTGAATTCGAGAACCGTCTAGCTGATTGGAGTTTAGAATGTTCCACGCGTCGAACCTTCTACGTCGAAAGCTCCAGAAGCCAACGCGTGTACAAAACCGGCTCCGCGTGGCAAGCCGGAGTCAGTTTCGCCCCAGCGTTCGACTCTGCTGCTACGCCGACTACGACGCCCGCGACGCTCTGTTAATTATCTTTTGTACCCTTTTATTTTGGCACAAGTTCGCCACATTTAACGTATATTTCTTCCTGTTCATTTCTTGTTTATTGGTCACCACCCGTGACAACATAAATATAATTTTTAAAAAAATGTAATCAGCTTGGACGTAATAGGTGAAAAAAAGTACAAAGCTTCAAGCAGCTTTTTTTGTCGATTACATATTGGTATAGACCAACAAAGAACCGAGACGACCAAGACGCGCAGCACTAGCTAGATAATTTTTTATTGTTGCAACTCGGACCAGTTACGAAAATCTGACGACCCGCGCATTTAGAAGGTTGCAGGCAAAAATATGAATGGAAATCAGGCTGGAAAGCAACACAAACTGTCACAGGCCCTTATTTAGCCAGTCTGCCTGTGAACGTCAATTTCGTCACTATTCTTATCCTGGACTAGCACCGTAATCACAAAGTCACTAAACGCTTGTGCTTGAGAGACACTGCATTCGGTGCAGAACGCAGTTTTCTTCCTGCTCTGGACAGTGCCTTTAATATAAAGCCGGAGGAGAAAAAGAAAAAAGCCCCATGGCCGAAAAAAGATGGACACTATATCTTACAACCACATGCATAAAAACATGAATTGTAACTTTGGCGATAACATTTATTTAACGTAATACAGGCAAGTGCTGCGGGCGCCCGGCGCGCCAGGGCGCCCGCGGTGAGCGAGACGCGAACTGCCGCAGGACTGGTGTATGAAGAGATGAAGAGTTTCTTGGCCTTTTGTTGCCGTTGGCGTTGAGATGAAGAAAGAGCAGCTTTGGACACGTCTTAGGTTGAGCAAAATGAGTGGTTACAATAAATTTGAGGGATGTATTTTCGCCCTCAAAATTGTATCTAATTACAATTGTATTTGAAGTACCCACGTTTTAGTATTTAAATACACACGTCAAATACATTACCCAATTTGTAATTAAATACAAATGCAAAATACACAAAGTATTTTAAATACGTATTTCAAATACTTGTATTTGAAATACTGCCCATCCCTGCTCGCCGTGGATCTCCTGACTCGTTGGACCTCTTGACCCACATTGGATGGATCTTTTGACTCGTGTCTGGCTAGTCAAAAGAACCAACGAGTCAAAAGATTCATTGTTGGACCTTTTGACCCGTTGGATCTTTTGACTCGTTGGATCTCTTGACCAGAAGCGAGTAAAACCTACACCCGAGGGGCTAGGCTTGGCGAGCGCCAGAAAATAGGGCAGATTACGCGATAGGAGCTGAAGATACCCATAAGTCCCGAGGTCGCTGCTGCCACCCCGATCGCCCGTCGCTCAGAATGGGGATTTTCTCGGCTTATCCTCTCAAAAGAAGCCGGCGCAAAAGGGGACCTTTCCCCTCGCCTCGCCGTGCTACAATACAGGAGAGCAAGGGAAAGAAAGAGGGCGAGGAGGACTTTCCGCCAGGCGGAAGAATATTTCTGCTGGTCCCCCTTTAAATACGTATACGGTGCTTTTTCCTAGCGTCGGTGATGAATAAAAGTTAAGAAATATTATAAACTATAAGCCCATTACACTTGGCAACGTTGACTATAAGGTGCCGAGGAAAGGTTTAGCCCGGCGGTTGGAAGATGGAATAAGCAAAATTGTAGGGGAACACCAGACCTGCTGGATGAAAGGAATAGCTGGGCGATGAGGACCTCGACCAGATTTCCATACTCCAGATCAAACAGAAGGCATTTGATCGTGTGCAACATTAGACACATTAGAAAATACTAGAACATGATGTAGGCGAAACTATCTTTAGTTTCGTTTAAATGGCGTAGAATGGGCGGACCGCACAACTCATAATTAACGAAAAACTATCAAAGCGAATCGTTGTCAAGTCCTCAGTCAAACATTGTTGCCCTCTATCACCATTGTTTTTTTTTAATTTACTTGTAACCCGTTTGCAGGAATGCATTTGGAAATAGCATCATTAATGGGTTTTCGCGCCAAAGCGTAAAAGTCAGGTTGCTCTCCTATGCAGACGATATGACCATCTTTTCTAAGGATAAAAAAAGTATTGTAGCACCAGTTAGGGAGATCAAAACCTAATGTGAACCGACGGGTGCGGCCGTTAATCAGCAAAAGTGCTGTGGCCTTTAGACATGGAACCTGGGCCACGAAAACCGACGTTTTTGAAGATATAGTATTTTGGTCGACGCTGACCAAGTATCTTGAGGTTCCTCTGCAGCACTCTAAAAGTTTAAATCAATATTGGGCGATAGTTGTTCAGTAAAAGCATGAGAAGGCTAGTAAATAAAATGGTAAAAATGTTTTCTTTTTTGCGGACCTCTGTTCGTGGTATTTTTTTTTTTAACTACATGTATTTTCAAGTTTTGGCGTGTGCTAGAGTAAATGTACACAAGTTGCATCTTGTCTTCGCTGTGTTCATCTGGACGCCTGGATTGGAAAGAGTATGCCGCGATAATCTGTTTCCCCGCTTCAGCACAGGAGGACTGTCATTATCGCGTGAGTTTTTTAAACAAGCTGTTTCACGTTTTATGTTTTTAAGAGATCAGTCGAATTTGTTTCTTCCTCCTGTATTCCACACCGCTTTCGGATGAAAGACCATCGTTTGTTGTTTCTTTATGTTGCCGCGAGAAAATTAGAATCGGTAGTTTTCTTTGTGAAGTAAGGGATGAGTTTCATTTTCAATGTGTTCGTGTTGGCTGTGTAATATCTGGGGAGTGTCACGCGAAAGCGCTTAACGCGTGATATTATTGAACATTTTTTCTCGGTACCGGTGTACTGTTCATTGTTTCATGCAGGCCCAGGGCAAGACGTTTTGTCTAGAGTTAAAACTATGACAATGCCGATTTTCTATTAAGATCTTATTTTAAGCTTCACAAGAATACTCTTCCTGAGAAACATTGGCTTGATCAGAAAAAGAAAACAAAGTCACCTCTTTAATATCTTACTCTCTGGTGTCTGACAGAGACCAGAGAGTATATAGCACGTATTTTCAGACTGCTGAGATGCCTTTTAATTTCGGAATGCTTTTCAGCGAACCCTTAAAAAGGACTTCTCCTTAGCACCCTTTGGTATTTGGTTTCGCTTTGTTAAAAAAGATAATGAAATCCCAATTGATTTCTTCATGCTCCTGCCTACATTCAATTTGACAAAACAGGATAGATATTAGACATAGTGATGTGGACACGCTCCCCGTGCGATTGTATTTTATAGAATCTATCCGCGCACTAAAAGCTGTATGCACCACACTGTACTGTTTGCCTGATTGGCTGCCAGTTCTATAGACGTTCTTGCTGACGTGAAGGAATTTTAAACTTTACGCACGCGCATAATTTTGTCGTGCACGCGATTCTATTATTGTAATTTATTGGTACTTGTCAAAAGGGACAATACAATTTTGGCGTAGCTCTGTGGTAACGCTCCTGCTTCACACGCGCGGACCCAGGATCAAGTGTTTGACAATATCGACGACGGACGGCCTGCGCCTTATTGAAACGAGAACAGATGCCATTTCCAGTGGTAGAAAGAGCCCATAACAACAGTAACAGGAAAGACGCCGGCGAGCTTGTGAACTTTTGAGATCTTCAACTCCCGAAACTAGGAACAAAATGTTAACAACGCATACACAGCTTTCTGTTGGGACCTGCGTGTTTGTGGTGTTAACGTTTTGTTTCTAGTGTCTGATGTTCAAAATGTTGGAAGCCCATAACCGCTACCGCTGTAAAAGAAGTGTTTGCTTTGCCATGACTGATCCGGCTCAGCGTTAGATTCTACTTATTTTTCTTCAACATTCCAGGTGCCTGGATTCCGAGCCTTGCTACTGTCAGGGAAGCTCATCAGGCGTTTCATCTGGCTCTGGAGTTCCTGGCAGCGGACCCTTCGTCACAAACCATTGGCATTTCTGTGCTTGTCGACGATCAAGGGCTCAGCATTAGTAAACTTCTGTCGATCAACATTGGTTTGTTGAAGCAATGTACAGAATTTATGCTGGTGAGTTCTAATATTTGATGCTATGACTATCAAACTTCTATTGCCCATTATCCTGAGTTGACAGTGATTGAACTACTGAATCCTGATTATGGTGAGACACGTCAAAAACACATCAGAAGCTTGTTCAGTACCCTCATTACCGCGGTCACTCTTCCTTCACGTTGCACAAATAGTCCGCTAACAAGGAACAGAGGTCAGGTTACTCGTCATGGCTATGTCTTTCCTTATTAGTCCGCTGAGCGATTTGATACCATGGCTGGTATAGGACCGCATTTATTATGCAATTCTGATGTTATCTGACTTAGTTGTGCTTTTTTTCATTTGTAGCGGGAGTGATATTTCACTTTCAGCCGGAATGAACACAAATCAGTAGATTTTGTAGGATGAGTGTGTGCTGTTGGGCTTTGAGTATGTCAGGTTCTTTATGGTAAAAAGAAAGGAAACTGAGAGGTCCGTCTGATTTTTGATATCAAAGAAATATATTTGCGCCCAGTTACTGTTCTACTTCCCAAATCCCCGCAAAGAAAAAAAAGAGGAAACTTATTAGCAAATAAATAAAAGAAAAGGGCGTACATCCAAAGTTCGACTCGCCGAGGTTGGCACTGGTTTACGCTGGTGGTAGAGGCCGGTCTCGTTTGGCTCCAGCTGCCGGTGTACCGATGGTGACCAGTCAACCGGTTGTTGGGATGGCTCTGCCGGGTTGCTCTTGAGCCAGGCTTGCCGTTCAGAGTTGACGGTGAGGACAGGTCGGCAGACTCCTATGTACGACAGCTTCGCCGGTGTATTCCGGAGCCAAGCTTTTCCGAATGCGTCCGATCTCCGCCCTCAATCTCCTCCTTCCCCCTCTTCTTCTTTTCTCTCCGTTAGTAGTCTGATTTTCTTCCTCTTTTTGTCGCCGCATTGATGACATTATTACAGAGTATAGAGAAGAAAGACGAAGCATTTTAAATAAACATGGCGTTCTGACAAGAAGCAGCCGGGAGCTCTGAGTAAGTAACGACGAATAACACAGAGTGAATTACTAGAATAAAAAAAAAAGTATTTCTGTGGGTAAATGAGCAGCATTACTGTCAATGAAGTTCTTTGCCCGCCGTTTGATAGATGTCCATGGTATAGTGATGGCGATGGGGTCTTGAAAAATCGGGTATACATGTAATTCCAAATAAAAACAAAATTGTTACGACCATACATAATATTTCTTTCGAGTGCGTAAATATATGTTAATGAGAGCAAGCTAATTTGCCCCAAAATATTGTCTAAATAATATTTCAACTGTTAACAGTATGCACCCCATTTCTCAATACGCCTGAGAAAGAGAGATAGGGTCAGAAGAGGAAGAGCAGAGGTTAACTTAGGTTAACAGTCCTGGTAGGCTACTCTGTTCTGGGGAGTGGGTTTGGGGAATTGAAAGAGAATGAAAAAAATAGGAGAATAAAAAACATTTAAAACGTCTAAAAAATAGTAACACGCTAGCATAAGGTATAAAACATATCACAAGTGAAGTATGTGTGTCACTTAGAGTCAGAAGTTCAGCCACATTTCTTTTAGGAAACGCAGAAAAGCTTTTGTGGTCCTCGCTGCATTCTGAGAACTTTCCGGGGTGCCAAGCACTTCCGTGATAGAAAAAAGGTCAGCTGTCAAGTTGCAACAATGCACTCTTGGGTTCTCCTCTTTCCGCGTCGTATGACAGTCGCACATTATGTGAGCAGTGGTTGCATCACATTCACACGCTGGACACTCCGATGTTCTCTTGCCCGATGCGGTGAAGGAAAGACTGTGTATAATGGATACCGAGCCGGAGGCGATGTATGACTGCTTATGTTCTCCGGGGAAGATCACGTGGAAGTTGAAAGGCAAGGTTTGGGTCCTACGCGTAGAGGGGAGTGTAATGGTAGGAGACATCGTGCCATAGACGCTTGAGCGGAAGAAGGCTCCTTATGCTTGGGCGAAACCATAAACGTAAACCTGCTTCCTGGAAAGGTGTTTGGACTCCGTGAGCGCAGGTCGATTTTGAAAATTCTGATTTGTCTCGCACTCATGATTAGACGGGACATACCTTATCAGGTGAATCCAAGGAACAAAATCGGGCTTGCCGGTTCAAGATAAAACTACCACGGCTTTTATAGAGTGGGCTCCGTATCAAGCTTTCGGTATTAGTATTCCTCGACCAGCAGAGTTACTATTCAGTGCTGAATTCATGGTCAGTTGCTCTTTAGCATTAAGATGCCGCTGAAACATTTATGTTTTTTTTTTTTTTTTTTTTTTTGCCATTCTAGTGCATACCATTTAGATTATTAAATCCCCTGGGAAACTTTATTCCTAGTTTTAGGCTATCAAACATAAAGACGAATCTTGAAGCAGTATTTCCTGGCCCATCTAAAAAAATGTTCCGATCCCACACAACGCCTAGTTTCATCCGCAGACCTGGGTGTTTCGTTTGTTTCATGATATGGCTAGATGTTCACGTCAAGAGTAGAGTTATGACTGGATACTTCATGAGCTTTGTTGCCTCCTACTTATTTTAATAGTTGCTGAGAAAGTGACCACATCAGCGACGAAACGGGGTTGTTATATTTGAATAAATTTTGTACTTATATAAACTTGGACACAGTGCTCTCTTTATAATATATTGTAAAGCAGCATATATTCCTCAACTTTCCACTCCCCTTCACCGGCGCGAGGTTGTAAGCGCATAATGTACATTCGTATTCCACCACCAGTGAAGTGAATACGATACGCTAAGTATTTCGGCCGATGTTTGACCTGCCAAATCTAGCAAATTTATTTGATTCCAGGTACAAAAAAACTTGTATGTATTCTACGTACATGTATTTTGTCACCAAAGCAGAATCTCTAAATTGCTTTTCACTCATTACAGAAGTGTCTGCCATTCCGGCTGAAAGCCATCCATGTGATCAGGCAGTCATTTGTGTACGAAATCTTGATGTCAATCATTAGGCATCTTATCAGCAGGAAGTACGCCGAAAGGGTGAGTCCTTCGAGTGTTACAAACTAAACATAAGAAACGTTTAATAGCCTGTAGATTGTGTGCATTTACCAGCAATCCTGGAATAACTATAAATAGGAAAAAATAGAGCCAACTGAACGTTTAACTCGCTCTATTTCTAATCATGGCTCAACTTGCTCAGATCTAACCCGATGTACAGTGCTACGCACAAGTTATAATTAGTAAGTTTGGAAAAACTGCGTCCTCATCTATCTCCTATCCGTTGTTTTTGATTAGTTATAAGCTTGGCCGAGAGGTGTCATTACTTCTCCTCTGCGCTGTGCCTGAGAGAAACAGTACTGCGACTAATGCAATATAAACTCAGGTAAAAAAAATAATATTTTTTACGTGTTTTTAATGACGTGTTAAAAGACGCAAAATTCAGCACTTTTCCTGGTTTGGAAACGTGCTCTTCATAATAAAGACCATACTTCATCAACGCAAGCTTCAATTTAGATAACTGTTTCGTTATCTAAATGTGAATAAAATTTGAATGATTCGGGTTTGCTTCTTTCGACGAAAAATATGTATAAACACCAGGATACGCATGTAATATTGCCTACTAGAACTGCCTTTTTGGCCAATATTTGCTGTTGTTTAGGATAATCTCAACGTACGAAGCAAAAGCAAATGAGGCTGGGTGTTGCTAAAAAATAACGTTTGAAAAACACCATAAATGAGTCTAGTAACAAAATTACTCCATTCGCACTACTGTCAAAGTTTTCTGCGTACCAAAGAAGTGCCCACAGACACGTGTCAAGAACTTACGGAATAAAAATAGAACGACTGTTCACCAACCACGTCGGGCGGAAAAGACATCTATTTTCCGGCTTGAAGAGAGAATGCTCGTGGAGAATAGTTTTAAAATGTGGAAATCTATTTTTGGCGCACCTGCGGTAATAACCATAGCGTCGTTTGGAACTGCTAAGGAGCAAACAGCTTCACAATTCCAATATAATAAGCGAAATTGATAGTAAGATTATTAGTCATGAAGCACAGTGGCGTAGCAGCCGCGAAAATCCAGCAAAGCCTAAGTGGTGTCAAAGATCGTAAACGCCCGAACCTTTTCGGACGTCCATTATTGGGGTAACTTTATTCGAAAACACGGAACCCTTGCTATACACAATAACGCTAGAAACACAGATAATACTCTTAAAAATACGACGGAATAGAAGTCAAAGTTAAACAGACGAAACGTGACGTTCCACACTTCTCCGCGAGATGTGCAAAGACGAGCAAAATGGATCGTCGCCGTGCGTAGGGACTGAGTTCCCGTCAAGATCGAGATCCCGCTTATGCAGCAATCACCTCACAGAAGAGAGCTACGAGCTGAGCTCTAACCGGACAGAGGGCTCGTAAGCTGAGGTGTGATGCTCTGTCAACGATATTCAACTACGTTCACCCACTCCTCGCCCGAATCGGATCAATCGGTTTGATTATGCAGCGAAATCGAAACCAACAGCTAGGCCATCTGGAAACGATGTTAAAAGTTGTATTTAGCACGCGTGCAGTCAGATTCTGTTTGACCCGCGGGTGAAAATGGAGCGTGGCTACGATTCGCCAAGCTCATCCAAGTGACGACATGCATTTGAACGATTCGCCGTTTGTCTTCGACCCGCGGACATCGCTCCCGAGGGAGCGACCCGCAGCCTCACCACCGACCCAGGGGATCTGCCGATTCGATATGTGTACCCAGATGCCGCTTCATGTACCTCCGCATGCCGCTTCAGAGGCAAAATCTGATTCCTTTGCTTTGATAGCGCTCCCAGTTCGATCGGTGGCCGTCGCAGTTGTGTTTGCGCGAAACGCCATAATTTTGTTCAAAGCTTATGGCTGTTTTCGAGTGATATCCTGCTAAAAGGCGTGAATCTTTCTGCACAGGCTTGGGAACTGCATTAGAAGAACCGAATTTCTGTAGGGTACAGTCTAGAAGACTATAATTCGAAACAAAATACAAGACATCCATCGACCACCGCTTGTTATCGCGACCATCTGACAAACCTTTGCGTTTTGTGACGTCATGCAGCGGCTACGGATCATCGAAATTCGGGATGCAGTTTCGTACATCCGCTCATGAAAGTTTTCGTTAATAAGGGGAGATCATATATCAAAATAAAAATGATGATTGTCTACATGAAGGCTCCCTTGACGTAACGAGCGCAAAAACTTAAGTACTTCCGGATTCGAACGGACAATCCCTTTAACCACTCCACCTCGCGTGGCCGCGGGATAGATTGATGGGATGACTACGAGCTTCCTCGCGGCTACCTCCGGCAGTTTATTGATTTTAATGTATCGACGTTTAACGAAGCCACACTTCTGTGCGACTTTTGTCGTGGGACAAATTAGTATTGCCAATGACACCACCGCCAAATTTAACTAAAGAAATCTTAATTGCTACAAGCGCGCTTTATTTTTTTTTTATCTGGGATACGTTTCATACGCATGCCAATAGGAAACACTGCGAAATTAATCTCCGAATTTCAGGGAATTGGGGATTTACGAAAAATAAACTGCGATAAACACGGAATTTTCGCTAAAAAATAAGCTCCGCAAAACACCCTCCGAGCGTCACGAAAAATAAACTCCGAAAACACGGAGCCCTAGTTATAACTAGGATTCTGTGTTTTCGGAGTTTATTTTTCGTGAGATTCGGAGGGTGTTTTTCGGAGTTCATTTTCCTCCGAAAATTCGGAGTTTATAGGACTTCATTTTTGTTTGATTCCAAAGTCTCCGAAATGTGGAGCTTAATTTCGGAGCGTTTCCTATTCATAAACATAAATAAATAATATCCGGGTGTAAACGTATGCTAGATAAAGAAAAATAAAACGTGCTTATATGAATTAATAATTATTCAGCTGGATTTGGTGTTGGTGCCATTGCCATTGGCAATACTTCTTTGTCCCATGGCACATGTCTAGCTTCGATAAACGTCGATACATTAAAAATAACCTCCTGGAGGTAGTCGTTGGAAAGCACACATTCGACACATCCTATTCCATGCTAGCCCGCGGTAGGGACGGAAAAATCGCGCGGGCGCCTTATCGCAACCCCTAGCTTTGTACCTGCTCCACAAGTGGTAACTTTAATGCACTACTACGCTTCTCACGCGCTCAAAGTCTTTCTGAAAATTACTGATTCAATGGTTTTCGATGACGCTGAGCAAGTTTATAATTGAAACCATATGTCTATTTTCATTAATTAAAAATTAATTAACGAACTTAAATTAATTAGCCGACTGATCGTTACGATTAGCCCCCTATAGTATGTCCCCCTGGCTGTATAACTAACCTCCACAAGCGGCTTTAAACAAATCTGTTAAGCTTAAAAAAAAAAAAAAACACCTTGTATATATACACTCGGAACAGCGTGCGTGACTTGATGCTAGGTCGAGACGAACATATCCACTTTTCTCAAATGTTCTCGCAGCCATGTCATTACACCGTGTTGAAGGCAACCTAATATATTGAGTTTTGTTGCAATAACTTTCAGATTTGAGAGAACGAGTTTTAATAGAAAAGGGTCGTTTTAATGAACGTGCGGTTGCACGAATGCTGATGCGGAGGCGTCGCGGCATCATATGCGTCGCGAATAATGACGATTATTGAATGGTTTTTTGCTATATCTAATTATTCTAGTCAAGTGTCAGACTACTTCGTAAAATGCATTTCGCTTTCATTAACTAGAAAACAAAATACATGAATAACTAATGCTTTGTTCACTTACCTATAGGGTGAATGCATAACACAGTGTATTTAAAATATTATGTTCACTACCATGATTCTTTGGCATTGGTTTAGTGGTTGTCAACAGTTATTTTAGAATGCTTTGCGTTGGGAATCATGCTAAAGGTCGACGTACTGAGGCAACGAAATTCACGCTTCTCCGAGAAATCGTCGATTCGGCGGTAATACTAATCTTGACATGCAGTACACAATGCGAGCGTGCTATTCGGTAAACAATTATTTTTCTTACGCAGATCCACCTCCACGGAATGAACTTTGAAGGTCTGCACAAGGAACTGCCCGCTGATACGCTGCCGGAAGAGTACGGAGGCAGCGGTCCCGCCATAGACTTCGAAGCCTTTTGGAGCCTCGTGGATGCTCAGGAACCGTCGTTCGTTCAAAACAATGGCTACGGATATCTCAAAACAAAGAAAAAAGGAACGAGATCGCCGAAGTAAACGGGATAGAATTGTCCACTATATTGCAGGGCACCCGCCACTTTTTCTGATAACTAAAGGGAACACTGGCCAAAAGGCACTAAGAAGACAATAAAGAGGCGAGTCTAAACCGACGATGATTTCCGTAAGAATATACGCACTGGTTATTTTTTGTCGTCACACGACAATGTCATTGTCTCATCAAACCAAGGGCAAGAGCAGATCGATTTTTTCCAGTCTCTCTTCTTTCAGTCATTGTCGCGTGCTTGGTGAGAAAATGACACCAAGGTGCCAACATCTACACTCTAAGAAAAAATGGAGGAAAAAAGTAGCAACGGCGCGTCTTCCTCCTTTCTACCGACGCGCCCCCAATCGGACACGAGAAAAGGGGAGGAACGAAACGTTTTTCTCCTTCTCCAGGCAGACGGGAGAAAGCTTTCGCCCTCCCGACTCATCTTCTTTCGGTTTCGTTTTTCGAGCAGGTCGCGCAGTTGTTTAATAAATAGCTGTTGATTTGATTGAGCTACAGCGGCAGCGAAGGCCGCCTGCATAATCCCGTCTTCTAGTCTAAACGTGCAGAACATTTCGGTTGCATTAACGTTTTATCACTAATTTTATCAAACGAGTAAACGAAGCCGCTAGAAACAGCGAAGTTCCGGAGCAGTGCCAGCAGCGCCACTTACACTGGGGGATGGCCGTCTCCGGATTGCGGGACTCACGCGGCACGGAACTGACGGAACTACAGTAGCTAGGGTGACCACCCGTCCCGCAACTCGCGGGACTGTCCCGCATTGAAGGCTCGTGTCCCGCGTCCCGCGAGAAATTCCCAAATCTTCAAAATGTCCCGCATTTCACACTGTAGTAAAATTCACTCTGCAACTTATGGTGCTGCCGAACAACGGGGCACGGGGAAGCGCGGAGGTCACTGGTAATCGTGTGAATCGCAATGGTACACCATTTTCTATCCTAGCATTGCGGGAAGCAATCGTCGTTCTTGCAGGAGGACGACATGCATGCGCCGTTGTGCCTCTCCCCTCAGTGGCAAAATATTGTAAAAGAAAAGTGGTCGTTTATTGCCATTATTTTCATATCGCTGTTTTAACGCGAAAGGGTTGCTGTGGATTTCTTTTTTTAGTAAGACAGCCACACAAGGCAAAAAGAAAAAGAACATATTGTTAAAAATTTGTCTAGGACCATGTTCATAAAAGTAAGCGCTGACAAGAAACAGTAACCCGAAAAAGATTTACTGTTTGTTAATTTCATTTGATGCATTGAGTGCTGCTGGAGGTGATTTTTATGCTTTCAACTTCGACAGATTTAATAACATATTTGGCATAAAAAATATAACACTGGGGGCGAAAATTATTTTAGCTTAATTGCTGCAATGCAATTTGCAGGTGTATAAACAGCACAGGATATTAAATGTGCTAACAGGGCCTCTGTTTGTGGTGTGCGTGTTCATAAATTTCCTCTAAACCACCCCCCGCCCCCCCTGCCTGTCCCGCATTTCGCTAGCAGGAAGGTGGTCACCCTAACAGTAGCGAAACCACAGTTTATCATACACAGTTTGCCCAATGTAGAATAAGCCTGTGGTAATCGCTAATCACGTGATCGGAGGCCTTGTGTGAATAAAAGTACATTGTAAAACTAAACTCATTACATATTACTCACACAATATAAATTATATTGATAACCAATTATTTCAAAAAAAGCGAAAGTTCCTCAAACAATTATTTTTGACTCGTGAAAGCGCCCTCTCACCACGGATGGGGTAACTAACTACATTTTATGTTTCGTTTTTATTGTTTTGCTTTTCAAGATGGCGGCCCCCATGGCATTTTGTTTACCCGCTTCTCGCGTCCGCTCGCGTTGCGTTTTCGCTTTATTGTGACGTGCGCACCACTGGACGACAATCACAGGTAATTTATTCAAACAAGAGTTATTTCAAGCAGGCAAATGTTTATTTTCGCTCTACATAGTACAATTTATACGAAAACGTTACAAACAGCACATGCAATGATGCGGTTGCTGACGGGTATTATTGAACAGAATGTTAGCCTTCAAGCATAAAAAATGATAAACCTAAGATCAACAAACATATTGTAAACAGGTAGAGGTCAAGGTAGTTCAAAACAGCTATTCATACACCATGCAAAAAAAAAAAAAAAAAAAACCTGCAGAGACGCGACACTGTTTTACATAACGAGTGCGATTACAAACCAGTTGCTTTAACAGTAACTACACGCTAATGTGGTAAAAATAAAGCTGTGTTTGGAGGTGCATTTGACAACAATGTTTAGCTGTTAGGTTTCATGACAGCGCGCCTTTACAACTCTCCGTCTACTGATCTGCCTAACAGGGCTACTGGCCCTTCGATAGAAATATCAGCTATCATTGACAAACCGTAAGCACCTAGAATGCCACTTTCGGACTGCAGCATCACCTTGAATATTTTCGTCCATGGAAGCAACCTCCTGGCTGAGCATTCTTCACTCGTCGCCCTCGCCAACAACCTCACCTAATCCTGCTATTGCTGATCACTGGTGATGCACACCCGCCGGCAATATGAAGGTAAACACCTTACCTGGATTCTTGCCTGTTTTACGGCTCCCTAAAGCTATATTAACTCTCAACGTCTCAAATGGTACGTGGTTTGGGGTCTAAACTTTGCGTTCTAGCCCTCTTCTGGAACAGAGCTTGTTCCAAAACTTGCAAAAGCGTCAAAAACAAAAAGACGGCTGTTCACCTTTATATCGCTCACGGGTGTACCTTCAAACTCCGGCTCACGTCCCACCTGCCCCTGCTGTTCCCGGTCTGGTTTCGACAATGTCGACACCCTCCAATGCGACGTTTGTGATTTGTGGTTCCATCAGAAATGTGAAGATGTATCTCTCGCTTTGTATAGACGCCTCTCCTCATTATCAACTGAGTGGCTCTCTGCGACGTGCCAGTTCCCACCCCTGGCCGATGACCTCTTTCCTTCCCCTAAGCAGCACGGAGCCCCTGCGTACCCCACCATCATCGCCGGTAGTTCTCCGACCCGCCTCCGGCGAGCGACAACATCGGCAGCGTTCACCGTTCGCACGACAACTCCGCGTTTGGCATAGTTGTCGTGCGAAAAGTGCGTGATCTGAGTCTACAGACTCCAATCACGTTTGGTTTTCCAACGTTTGCTTCCTAAAGAACAACCTTCCTGACTTTAAAGCACTGAAGTAATCTTTTCCGAATACAATATTCGCTGTGTGCGAGACATGGCTGGACGCCTGTCTTCGGTGGGTAATTAATGGGCAATTAATCAATCTCGCACAATTCTCTTTATTACAACAAGACCGTCCCTCCTTGGGGCAAAGGCGTCCGTCCTCGCCATGCCAAAACACCTGCCCTGCCAACGTCTCGACCACCTCACCCCCCCTGGTCTAAAAGCCATCTTCGTCGAGGTATTTTGCAAACACGGAGAACTTGTTCTGGTGTCTATCTACTGCCCACCCTCCCTCCGTGAACAATCATACGCCCTCCTCCAAGAGAGCCTACAGCGTGTCGACCCCATCAAGTTCTCAGCACTGTTCATCTGATCCACTCGATGACATGCTGTTCGACTATTGGAAACTGCTGGCCTCGCCCAAACCTATGACTCCTCATTCTACGTTTCTCAAAACAGCAACGCTACATTCCTCGACCTCGTCCGCACCAATAATCCCACCTTATCCTACCGCTGCACAGTGAAATAAAGCCTACCAGGCAGTGATCGCAGTGCTCTCCTAACCAATATCCATTCCTCAGCCCCTAAGCGAGGTCATCAAGCCAAGAAGTTCCAGCAGTTCTATAAAACCGATTCCCCTCATCTCAATCAGCTCATCCACCTCTCTCCCTGGTTCATCGTGTTTGATCACCCATCGGCTGACGAGGCCGACGACCTCTCGCTCAACATATCAGCAATTCAGCACAAATGTGTTCACCCTAAGGATCAACAGGAGGCACGGCAGCCTTCCATGGATGACAAAGGAGATTGTAGTCTTAATCAGACGTAAACACTGGCTATTCAAGAAAGCTCCTCTAAATCCCACTCATCTCAACCAAGCCCACCAGGCACGTCCCGAAGTCAAGCATCTCATCCATATCTCCCATAATGATTACCTACAGCAACTAGGAGCAAAAGCAACCTGCCAGCCCGAACTCTTGGGCATGTTTTCACTATAAAAAAAAGTTTTTCCATGCGACGGTCTTCACGCATCACGGCAGGCCCTATTCTAATCTTGACGACATAGCAGAGCTCTTCTCTTACCACTTTCCTCACGCTGCAGCATTACTTGACCCTAATGCACCTAACCTTTGTCCCACCCAACCCACAACTCTGCCAGTCAAGGCCACACCAGCAACCACTCTCTTTCATAGTCATTCCTCAAAGTGAAACCTACAAAACCCTTGCCTGTGTCAACTCCTCTCAACGCTCTGGACCAGACAGCCTCCACCCCGCATTGCTTAAATCCTGTGCTGGCCGTATCTCCCCCATTGTCACTCGCCTCTTCAACGATTTTCTCTCCCGCAGCTCTGTTCCTAAATCCGGGAAAGTTGCATCAGTAAAGCCTCTCAAAAAGGGACACGGTGCCCCCTCAAGTCTAGCATCCACTCATACTGACCAATCTCCATAACATCCGTCGTTTGCCAAACAATGGAGCCCCCACCAATACGTTTCCCGCCAGGCAGGAGCTGCGAATCGGCCCTTGCAGCTTTCACCCATGCACTCAGCACCAGCCTCGACAACTGAACTCCGTGCGAGATCGTCCAGTTAGACTTCAGAAAGGCTTTTAACAGCGCAGACCACAGCTTGCTCCTATCCAAACTCCAACAGATGGGAATCTCCGGAATGAGGAATTAAAAATTAAATTTTTCACAGCACTACCTTTTGCTGCAAGGGCTCTTTTCATGATTTAGCACAAACTGGAAACACTACTAACAGGTAGGGTGTTCACTGAGCTAGGTTATCTGTGCCATTGCGTGTCAAAGGGGCTTTGAGAAAACTAATTGAAAAACACTGTGTCCAAGTTCAAGAGAAA